GAATTAAAAATTCATCCTTAGGCTAGTGAATCTCACCTCTATAGTCTCCAAATTGGTAGTTTCAGAAGATGTCTCATCTTCTGAAAGAGATACCTACAATAGATAGGAAAAATTTCTTTCTAGGGGAAGCTATTTGCCTCCCTTTCCAAAGAAATATTAGATTTATTATCCCAGACTTAGATGAGTGACCTTTATACACTTAAATTAGGGCATGTGAATCCTACCTTTTCAGTCATGGAGTGCAAATCTCTTTAGTTAATAAAGTCAAATATGTCCTAATAACACCATCATAACAATCAGTAGTACAAATATTAAAGGTGAAAACCATGTACGAAAGTAACAAGAGATTTTGATCCAAATTCTACACTTCATAGACTGTTCTTCATCCACAAAAAATTAAGTCTAGACTTGCCCTAAAATGTTTAAAACAATGACTCTGAAATTAAACAAAGATCTCTGGTGCAGGAACACAATTGTGCTCACTTCTTTTTGTCAATAACAATCTCAGAACTAAGAATTGGTAATCAGTAATTTCCTGGACTCTTTATTCTAACTTTAATTATGTCCTCTCCTTTCCCCAAAGAAATTTACTGAACATTTTCCGGAAATTAACGCAAACTGATGAATACTTATTCTTCTCAATTCTTTCAGTAAAATCAGGCTCCTGAACATTATGCTTTTGTTCAAAAAGTCAGAAAATGTAAAAGACAATTTTAAAGTTTCTGACAAATAGCAAGGAAAAAGAAAAAAAAAAAAAGGTTTATTTATGTAAGAATTTCTTAAGTATTTGGAAGAAGTTTCCTTTCAAAGTCCTAACAACTCTGCTAACACTGTAGTTATAAATGGCTGTAAATCTCCACTCTTCCCCCTCTTCCCTTCCCAAAAGATGAAATATTCTTGGAAATTATTTGGAAATTATTTTTACTAAACAAGAATTTACAGTGAAAAATACCACTAAACCCATCTGAAACAATGGCAACATTCTATTTCATTTCCACACAATATTAATATTTCTCCATCTTTTTCTCAGGGCTCCTTTCATCTCCTTATTCCTCAAACTATAGATAATAGGATTCAATAAAGGAGTCACCACAGTATAACAAAGTGAGAGCACCTTATCAACAGATGCAGAGTAGCTGGATTTTGGCAGCAAATACATGGAGCTTGCTGTCCCATAGAAAAGAGTCACAACTAAAAGGTGTGAGGAGCAAGTGTAAAATGCTTTCTGCTGGCTTTCAGTAGATGACATCTTAAGAATTGTGGAAATGATGCAAATATATGAATAAATGATCAGTAAGAAGGGACCCACAATAGCAAAGACAGCCACCACAATGACTTGAATTTCACTTGGGGAAGTGTTACCACAAAGCAGCTCCAAGAGGAATTGAATCTCACACAAGAAGTGGTTGATGGCAAGACCACAGAACGGTAAGCTGAATGTTACGATGATATGTACTAAGCCTACAGCAGTCCCACAAATGTAAGTTCCAGCAATCAGGGTTTTGCAGACTCTACTGTTCATAATGATAGTGTAATGCAAGGGGTAGCATATTGCCACATAACAGTCAAATGACATGGCAGCCAAGAGAAAACATTCTGCAACTCCAAAAAAAAAAGGAAGAAAAATATTTGCATTGCACATCCTATCTTGGAAATACCTGTTGTTCCCACAATTAGATTCTCAAGAATCTTTGAGACAATGACTGACAAATAGCAGATATCCAAATAGGACAGCTGAGTGAGTAAGAAATACATAGGGGTGTGAAGGGCGTTATCATTATTTATTATCAGAGCAATCACTGTGTTAGCCATCAAGGTGAGGATGTAAAGAGAAAATAAGACTAGAAAGAGCAAAGGATGCAAGTGAGAGACTTCAGAAAAACCCAGAAGTCTGAGTTCACTCACTTCACTGATGTTCACGGGAATCATCCCACTTTGGTATCTAGTAGAACTATTCTCTCTTCATTTAGGGCTCAGCAGTTGATGCAGTTGTAAACAGCCAGACAAACTGGCAATCAAAATACAATTGACTGATTGAATAGGCAAAAGGATGAGTAGAATTTAGAAATGATCCACATTTTTAAAAGATCTTCTGAACAGATTATAAAAAGTTCTGAAGTAAATCAGGCAGTCTTATGCATATAATTTAATCTCTCTTTTTTTTTTTTTTGGCTGATTTTTCTTCTTTCATAGCATTGCCTTTGAAATTTTCACATTTACTACTGTCTTCAAACACTCAGCTACAGTTTTTATCCTGTAGAACAAGAAAAAAAAATGTTTATAGCAGATATCTTTTTATGAACTAATCACTTCAAGTTCCAACAGCATCAGTACATCAGTAGCAGCATTTGAATAGTACAAAGATAATTTCTCTGTTATCTAAGTGATCTGCTCCAGGGGATGATTGCTGCTCCCAAGGCCAATTGGTCCAAAGTATCTTGTGAGTGTATTCATTGCTAGGCTACACAACAAGTTAAAGGGTTAAAGACAGGCTTTGCATGCATAAGGATTTACTTGTGGGATCCACAGCTGATGGCAGTCATATTCTGAAGTTACCTTGTGGGGAGAGTGGTGGAACAAGAAAAAGAAAGAGAAGCCAGATGATGGGGTCTCCAGAAAAGCATTCTCCTCCAAGCACTTTCAGTGAAGCAGGAGAGATGATTTTCCCCAGCACTATATACTGTACACTGAGACTCACTAGTGCTGATTGGAGCAATAAGGGATAGCTGTTACTCACAGGTTGGTTGGTAAGCATGGTGTATCTATATTAGTTGGAATCACAGACACCCCTTCTGGTCTCTCCAGTTTTAAATAACTTGGAGTACCCTTCTATATAAACCCAAATGTCCTACTGGAATAGCAAAAGCTGTCTTTGGCTTTGAAGTAGTTACTATTACTTCATAATGCACCCAAATAAATGAGAAAGTTGTCACACAGGCTGATCATATTTATGCTTTCTTATAAAAATTTGAAGAGGAAGTTCTAGGGGGAGGGGTACAGTCCACATTCATTTGAGGATATAAATCCTGCTGAGATAGGGATGGAAGGTTGGGCCAAAAACACAGAGTGAAAACTAGTGAGGTCCCATTCATACTGCCAAAAAGAACAGTTCTTGAAGTAATATAAACACTAAATTGTTCCAGCTTCAGTGTCAGAAAGAATGATCCCAGAAGCAATCTAGTTACACATGTTGTAGACCAATGGAAGAACTCAGGATGCAGTTGCTATCGCTGCTTTTCCCATGTTAAAAATTTAGAACTAATTTCAAAACCATCATATGGTGAACAATCAGTTCCCATAGGCAAGAGTAAAAAATGTATTTTTTAGTTCAGCAGCTCTTGAAGATCAATGAAGAAGGAAAAGCCTGATTTAAGTAGTTTATCTTGCAGACCTTTGGTATGTGACTACCAAATAGCTATGCTCTTAACATCTCTTATCAACAAGAAATCTGTACCATGGTTATCTCTGCTATAAGTCTCATGCTTTTGACAGTCCTCAGAAGCATGACGTCAGGGCCAAAATTACATAACTAAGTTGGAATTTATTTCCAGTTTATTTCCAGGAATGTGACTGACCTAACATGCAGATGAATAACTTCATACATCTGTGACATAAAAAACCTACCACTGACTGTCCTTCAGTGCTTCATGGAAAAACTGTAGAAAATGTTTAAATCATGACTTTCATGAGGTTAATAATTTCACTTCATCACATATTTCCAAGGCTACAGACTTATCACAGTATAAGTATCCTAAAGCTCTAGCTTTTGAACTCTGGATTAAAGATAAACAAAAGAATAACTTCAGTAAATTCATTCCTCTGAGCTTCCTTGAAATGCACTTCTTATTCCTGAGGGAACTAACCTACTTTTTAGCTGCTAAAGATAGGTATTATGAATACCAACTCTACCCATGATCCTTTCTAAAGGTTTCTTAATATTCTCAGAACCAAAAAATGGTTCTTCTAAGACTTCTTTTGAAGACTTCTTTTGAAGACTGGGTTTATTCACCTGCTTTCAGATATCTAAAATGGAGACACCTGTTTTTGAGATATTTGGCTAGAGTCTTTTTATGCTTAATGATGAGGTCTTCTACAGGGTCTTTAAGATCATCCTCAGACAGATGAGACTAATAATGTTTTAAATTGGACTGTTTCTCCCCTTTGAACATAAAGGGAGGCTAAAGCAATTGGCCCAGATACATACCTTTTTATTATAGATAAACACATCATTTTAGGTCTAAAATTATACACTTTTGCACACTAGTATACACTGCAATAAAGATACTAATTGTCACTCTCAGAGGTTATGAATTGTGCATGATTGCTATTGAATTACAGTTCCTTACTGAAACAACTTAATATTAGGGTTCAAGCTCATACTTCCCTTTCCCATCCTTGCCCAAAAAGCCTTTTGTATGTTGGCATGGTAGAAACTCATGCAGATTATCCAAGGGTGTTCATTCTGGCATCCAAGCAGCCTTTGAGTCACAGATCAGCTTCATTACTGTCCATAGGTGTTGGCACTCCTACCTTTGAAAGATCCTTGCCTCCTTTGGGCTTTACCTGATTTTATATCTCATTCATTGTTTCTTCTGTTTCTTGACTCACTTTTCATTACCTTTGCACTTCCCATTTTTCACCAGAACTCCTTCCAAACAAACAACCAGTGTCGCTGATCTACAAGAAGGGCCAGAACGAGGATCCAGGAAACTACAGGCTTCTCAGTCTGACCTCAATGCCAGGGAAGGTTATGGGGCAGATCGTCTTGAGTGCCATCCCACAGCATGTACAGGACAACCAGGGGATTGGGCCCGGTCAGCATGGGTTTATGAAAGGCAGGTCCTGCTTGACTAACCTCATCTCCTTCTATGACAAGGTAACCTGCTTAGTGGATGAAGGAAAGGCTGTGGATGTTGTTAACCTGGGCTTTAGTAAAGCTTTTTACGCTGTTTCCCACAGCATTCTCCTGGAGAAACTCTCTGCTTACAGCTTGGACGGACATGCGCTTTGCTGGGTAAAAAACTGGCTGGGTGGCCGGACCCAAAGAGTTGTGGTGAATGGAGTTCAATCCAGTTAGTGGCCGGTCACAAATGGTGTTCCCTAGGGCTCAGTATTGGGGCCAGTTCTGTTTAATAACTTTATCAATGATCTGGATGAGGGGATTGAGTGCACCCTCAGTAAATTTGCAGATGACATCAAGTTGGGTGGAAGTGTCAATCTGCTGGAGGGTAGGAAGGCCCTGCAGAGGGTCCTGGCCAGGCTGGATCGTTGGGCCGGGGCCAATTGTATGAGGTTCAACAAGGCTCAGTGCTGGGTCCTGCACTTGGGTCACAACAACCCCATGCAACGCTACAGGCTTGGGGAACAGTGGCTGGAAAGCTGCCCAGTGGAAAAGGACCTGGGGGTGTTGGCTGACAACTGGCTGAATATGAGCCAGCAGTGAATTTTCTTGTTCATATTGATAACATATTGTTTACCTCTTACAGCCTCTAAGACAAATCATTCTCCTTTGCCTTTAATTCCTCTACCTAGTTACAATAAAGCATAAGCCAGTTATCTTATATGCAGTCTGCATACCAGAGCAACACATTAACATGTTTTCCACGCACTGTTTCCATGCTCAAAAGCATCTTTGCCGTTTACTTGTTTTAATCACTCTTGTCATTTCCTGCAGTGGCCTTGCTAGGGGCCCAGTGCTCCAGCAGGACATCTTTCTCACAGGTAGTTGATATCCATGATCAATGGAGAGGGATTGAAAGCTTGATATGTCCGTTGCTCCCACCCTTAAAATCAGTTTCCAAGATTAACTTCCCCTGGGGAAGCCCTGTTCTTCTGACTGAGTATAAAGAGGGCCTAGACCACTTACTTAGCTTTAACATCATGCCATAGGATAGGATGTTAAAGTGAGATGTAACTCCCCCAGGGAAGGAGAGTCAAAAGAAAAAGATAGCTAACAAGTTGAGGAACAGACAGACCAAAGGTAGGATATATTTCATGTAACTAGATAATTCACTATCTTAAAAGTCTACATCTGAGGTAATAATTTCTCTGCTTGACCCACCTGCTGACTCATAGGTGCTTAGTGCCAGCTGAGATGTCCCAGGGCATTCAAAACCTTAGTAACAGGGCAGGCAGAGAAGACCTAGAATACATGGGAGACCTACAACCCTAGTGAATAGCAGCTGGAAGACAATTAGGATAGTCCACAGTGTATAAAATTCCATTAGAAGCCACTGTTCAGACACCCAGACTGAGAAACTAGGGACAACTGGGCACTTTTTAGCATACAGATCAGCTGGACCATTTTGTCTGTCTACCTTAGGCTAAAACAAATGCTGACCTAAAAATGGTCCATCTAGGACTAGAAAGAGAGAGGATAAGCAATGGGATGGAAACTACTGAGCACAGAAACTGAAGGAGTCACTCACCATGTCTCAATCAGGTGTAAAAATTGTTTGTTTCCAGAAATCCTGTAAAACAGGACACAGGTATTCAGGACCGTTTCCAGATATGCAGGATATTGGCAGCAGCTGAGGTTATACCAGCACTGTCTTGGGCAGCAATGCTCAAATTAGAGGTCTCAGAGTGCATTTTACCTCACTGAAACTTAGTTATGCATAGGCAGGTCTCCTTGTCATCTATTTGTCTAAGAGTCCATTATAGCTAAAGAGATGCATTCCAAAATGTTCAGCGGGCTGCTCTCGAGGGTGGTTCAGCTGGCTAAGGGTAATTGTCTATGTCAGGAAAAACTTAATTGCTTTCTAGACTGTGACCAGATTTCCACCAACTAGCTCTTCTACTGGAAGCACAGTCAAAGCTCTTATGTAGATGCCCTGAATTTATGAGATAAATCCTGCTCTGTATGAGAAGGCACCATAAGAAAGGTGCCTGCCTCATCTCTACATGTCTATCCAGAAAAGTGCCTGAGCCTCTACTACCTATGCAGATGACCTGTATAATATCTACCATATTTTGTGGCTCCCCTGGTTACTCTCAGTCATCCAAAATAGCACTGGATGCTTATGTTTGGGCAGAACTACTTAGAAGCTCTGCTAACTTTCTTTCAGTGGAAAATATTTATCTATATTATATAGATAAAAAGCATAGATAATATAGATACAGAACACATATATACACATGAATATGTAGAAAATAGAGGTAATGAAGGAAATCAGTCTTATCCATTCAGAGTTCTGCAAGTCCCCTCTAGCTTTTTTTTTTTCTTATATGACAATTTATAATTTTTAGAGATGGAGCTTGAAATGTTTATTCTCCAGTTATTAAAAAAAAAATCAGTTATTAAAAAAAATCCTTGTATTGTTTATGAAAGGAAATAAGACATACTTTTCCCCTGAAAAGAATAAGTAACTTTTTATGTTGTTTGACTTTTATAGTTAATAGAGATTACTAGTAAATTTTAGCTTTCAATCCATGTGATATGCTTTAAATGCTTACTTTAGGATGTAATAGGTCCAGACATGCTTATTTCTTTCTATAAATTATAGAAGAATACATCCCACTAGGTTGGTTTTCTACCTGACATGTTTTTACCCAACGTGTTCTGCCTAACAGTTTTCTACCCAAATTCTTCTGAAATATAAAGTTGTTGCGTGTTATCTTTGTTAGGATTACCCAATCAGAGGATCTTGGGAGCTGTCCTGGTTTCAGCTGGGATACAGTAAATTTTCTTCTTAGAAGCTGGTATAGTGCTGTGTTCTGGATTTAGGATGAGAATAATGTTGATAACACACTGATGTTTCAGTTGTTGCTATGTAGTGCTAAGCTGTTGCTAAGTAGTGCTTACGTTGGTCAAGGACTTTTCAGCTTCCCATGCTCTGCCAGGTGCACAAGAAGCTGGGAGGGAGCACAGGCAGGACAGCTGACCCAGACTGGCCAAAGGGCTATTCCATACCGTATGATGTCATGCTCAGTATATAGAGCTGGGGGAAGAAGGAAGGGGGGGACGTTCAGCAATGGCGTTTTTCTTCCCCAGTAACAATTACGCGTGATGGAGCCCTCCTTTCCTGGAGATGGCTGAACACCTGCCTGCCAATGGGAAATAGTAAATGAATTCCTTGCTTTGTTTTTTTTGCACGCACAGCTTTTGCTTTACCTATAAAACTGTCTTTATCTCAACCCATGAGTTTTCTCACTTTTACTCCTCCGATTCTCTCCCCCATCCCATTGTGGGGGAGTGAGCAAGCGGCTGTGTGGTGCTTAGTTGCTGGCTGGGGTTAAACCACAACAGGAGCCTAGAAGATTCTTCCTTCTGCATCATCTGGACCACTTGCAGCACTCTCTAGGGCACTAGCTCTTTCCAGTTCGACACAGTCCCCTGGTTCCTTCCAGTAGTGAAGCTGAACATGCAATCCTGGTAGGCAATTTATGCTACATACAGTATAGGTACATACATATACACATCTGGCCATACAAACAGAGACACAAAGAGCACTCAAACAAACAGAGTCGGCACAGCGGTCTCATCCTGCCTCCTTCTCAAGCTGAGCAGTATGGAGGTCCAATAGTGAGAAAATATATATAGTATAGAATAGTTCCAATTGGAAGTCATCTACAATGATCATCCAATCCAACTGCCTGACCACTTCAGGGCTGACCAAAAGCTAAAACATATTATTAAGGGTGTTTGCCAAAGGCCTCAAAATATATATGTGTGTACATGTATATGTATATACACGCCTACATAGAATTACAGAATCATATAATCGTTAAGGTTGGAAAAGACCCTTAAGATCATCAAGTCCAACCGTTAACCCACCACTGCCAAGTCCACCACTA